ATGTAATTACCTTTCGAGATCTGCGTTCTAATAAAATCATTTAGGTGAATAAGGATTGAGTCGGTAGAAAAAGCTCTTCTAAAACCACTTTGAAATTTATAAAGCAAATTATTTTCGAACAAATATTTTTCAAATTGATTATAAACCACTTTCTCAAGAATTGCTAATCGGTCTGTAATTGTTTACATCATTTTTTAAACCTTTTTTGTGAAGAGGTAAAACCTTTGCAAGTTTCATATCATTGGGAACTACATTATTACTTATAGACTGGTTTATAAGATATGTTATTGGTTTTTTTAAAATAGTCAATGCACCATCTTTTATTATTCCTTCCGTCAGAAAGGGCAGAACCGCCAATCGACTGTCAGCGAAAGCTCGTGTTACATAAAGTTGTTTTCATGAAATTGAGTAAAATAATAGAACAAACAAGACCACATGGAGACCCCTGAAATATTGCTTTGCTTAAAAATTGCTTAAAATTAGGAAGTCAATTGTATTTTTGTATGTCTCTTGGATGCACTATACATTTTGTATGAGTGCCACTGTATCAAAAGTGGATCCAATAAATTGATTGATTGATTGATTGGGCAAGGCACTTCATCTGCATTGCTTCTCTCCACCCAGGAGTAGGACTATACATGGGTACCTGGTAGGGCTAAATGCCAAATACGCTGATGTAGCTGCTGCAACGTTATAGAATACTCCCTAGGGAGCTTGAATTTGTGTTGCATAGGCGTTTAATCCAATAATCGGGGATACAATGTGAATCGCTTAGAGGCCTTGTTATTATTATTATTATTATTAGTGTTATTATTAATATTATTGTTATTGTTGTTGTTCTTGTATTTGTTATTGTTGTTGTTGTTATTAGAACATAATAACGTTAATGATGCGTTTTCCGTAATGAAAAAATAGTTGAAATTAATTAAAAAGTGGTCTAAATCAATTAGACTCCATAATTACGTAAAACTAAGTAGGCCTATATAAATTTTGCAGGTAGAAATACAAGTGTTAATATACATAAACATAGAAAATATACAATATTAAAAGTCCATAAAACAACCAAAAGGATGATAAAAAATCTATACAAACCCGCTAAAATTCGTACTTATCAATGCCAAATTAAATGTATGTATTCTTATAACCATTATTATAATTATTATTTTATTATTCATAAATATTCGATCAAAAAAATAAGGTATTTAACCACTCTTTCATTATGAATGATGGTGTTACAAGGAAGGTAGAAAAGCTAAATTTCTTGGTGTAATTTTAGATATTGTGTATTAATTAAGTGGTATTATACCATATGAAATTGTACCTGTTATTACTTATGGAATTACTGTCTGGTGCACGGGAACAGATGGGAAAATTTGATATACTACCATACAGAAACTCCAAAAGGAAGCACTTAGAATTATTTGTGACGTACAAACACCAACTTTTTATAGAAACAAATACCTAAATATGACCTTCACCATAACATCGCTATGCTCACGAACAAGGACCATTAGATGTTTATACCTATATTGTACAGTATTTAGATAGCATTGCAACGTCCCCTTTTTCACTATTTACGGTGCTCTGTGTACATTTTGATATTGTTGAACATATATTATGTATTCGCTGTAAATGCGTGGAAGTAAAAGTGAATTAAAACCTCATTTAAAATTTTACCTCAGCCTTAATTTGTTTTTATTTTGTTCTTAATTTTTTGGCATTTTCAGCTCCAGTGTTATAAAATGTGTTCTTAAAAAAAAAAGTGTAGTTGGTTTCCTTGGCTTTGTTTTGTCTTCACTGCGATGGCGAAACACACCTGACTCGATCGTCTTTTATTTATTTTTTAAAGTTCAAATTCCGGAGTAAGAATCAATAATAGATAGGACCATATTGTAAAACAGCGTTACGATCTCCTCTGTATATGTTATAGATGTGTATAAGAGACAGCGTTTATACTCGTTTATATTTTTAATAAACTTAATACTTGACGGAAGACTATTCCAGTCTTTTATAGTATTGTAGAAAAATGTTTTCGAGGCTTTCCCTTTGATATGTGGCATTACAAAATTTTCACCTGATTTTCTAGTATTATAATCGTGTATTTCCGAAATTCTAATAAAGTTATTTGTTAAAAATGAAGAATCTATGTCATTGTATATTTAAAAAGCATGAAGAAACCTAAGAAATTTAACCCTATTGTTTATATTTAGATATCCAAGTGTGGAAAATTATTTTCCACCTACTGTACATGTGCCGTAGGAGGAAGGTTTAGAATAAACCTCACAATCTTATTTTGAGTTACTTGATAATCTGTATAGGCCTAGATTTCTTTACCCTGGTTTCTCTTATTTATTTATATTCTCTCATATTTTTCTATTTCCATTTCCTACCCTATATTTTGCTTTCTTTAATATCACAGGAAACTCATGAGCAAAGGTCTTATAAAATCAAATAACTCCTCAGATTTTTTAATCTGTTGATCCACTTTTCTTGTTCTTATTTGTTTTCCCTTTTGCGTATGTCGGGTAGCTTAGTAGTACAACAAATAGGGCCTACTTTCCTTTATTAAATGTAACATACAAATATAAAATGTAGTACTATAGGCTTAATATAATGTATTTATAGACATGTAATGTATATTGTGGAATATCGAAAGTACTTCATTAATTTTTACATAATTATGTATACAGTATATATTTTTTTATTATTATTATTATTCTACCAAGTACTATATTTCCACGTGAATTGTACTGAAAAAGACAATTGATTCATAAAACGTTAATTTAAACTGTAATGACTGTTCATGCAAGCAGTGTTGCTCCGTACAATCATGGAGAAAATAGGCATGGTGTATGTGTTGTATGTGGTTGTATCATCCATGGACGAATACCGTATTATACTTCCCACAGCTCAACATACCTTTGTCACAAACGTTTGTGCGTAGGCGAGCCGGGATTAAAAGGACTACGATGTCTCTCTCAGTTTAATTTCAGCATTAGGTCTTGGCCTATTTTGTGTGTATAAAAAAACTGTACCATAGGGCCTAGCCCAGCTACTCACAACTAAAACAGGGGTAGCTTTTCTGTGGCTAGCAAGCTAATGTTAGTCCGTGTACATTTATACAAAATGTAACAGCAAAAATATATGTCAACAAAAATATATATAAAGATATAAAATATACAAATATACATGCATACCGTACATACACACCCCCCCCCCCC